ATCGTCACTCCGTTCTTCATGTCGCTGCTGCTAATGGCCAGATCGAGGTGAGTTTTAGAGGTTTTGTACGAGATCTCGTCGGAATCTGGGGGTTTTCGTTTCAGATTCGTGGTGTTAAACTTGGATTTGGGGATTATTCTTGTTTGATTCGATGTTACTTATGCATTTTCTACTTTGATTTGCAGATTTTGTCTTTGCTTTTGGAACGATTTACGAATCCAGATTTGTTGAATCGTCACAAGCAGGTTTTGATTTCGCATTGATCTGGTTATGTTTAGTTTGGTGAATTCTTTTTGCTGATTTTTTTTTTTTGTTCTTGATTTGATTCTTTTAGACTCCGTTAATGTTAGCTGCGATGTATGGAAGGATCTCTTGTGTGAAGAAGCTCACTGAAGTTGGAGCTAATGTACGTTTCTCTAACTTTTTCTTTTTTTTCCTATCAATATTGGGATTTTGGATTTTGAAATTTGTGGCTTTTGTTGTGGAATCTGTAGATTTTGATGTTTGATTCCGTCAATCGAAGAACATGTTTGCATTACGCCGCATATTATGGACATGCTAATTGTGTTCAAGCTATTCTCTCTGCTGCTCAGTCAAGTCCTGTTGCTGTTCATTGGTGAGTCTCTGATACTTATCTTGAATTCTTGATCAGTTGTTCAATCAAACTCCTTGGATGAGAAAGTTGATCACTTGGAGTTTGCATATGTCAGGGGTTATGCGAGATTTGTGAACATAAGAGATGATAAAGGAGCGACTCCGTTGCATCTAGCTTCTCGGCAGAGACGGCCTGAATGTGTGAATGTGTTGTTGGACAGTGGTTCTCTCGTTTGTGCAGCTACTAGTGTATATGGGTAATGGTTTCTCTCTTCATGCAAAATTTTTCATTGAAACAACATTTGTTAGAAGTTGGAACTGATTCTCTAAGCTTTTGTTGAAACAGTTCTCCAGGGAGCACACCTCTTCATTTGGCAGCTAGAAGTGGATCTATTGATTGTGTCAGAAAATTGCTTGCTTGGGGTGCTGATCGTCTTCAGAGAGACTCTTCTGGGTATAAAAAGATTCTCTTTTCTAGTTTGTGGAATTTTTTTGTTCTAGTTTCAGAACATAACTTGAATCTTGAAATCTCTTTTCAGGAGGATACCCTATGTGGTTGCAATGAAGCATAAACATGGAGCATGTGGAGCCTTGCTTAACCCATCATCTGCAGAGCCTCTTGTTTGGCCATCACCATTAAAATTCATCAGCGAACTTGATGATGAGGCGAAACTTCTCCTAGAGCAAGCTTTAATGGAGGCTAACAGGGAGAGAGAGAAAACCATCCTCAAGGGAACTGCTTACTCCTTACCATCACCCGCTTTCTCCGACACTGCCTCAGATGATAACATGTCCGAGGTAAATATTACTTTCTTTCACATGACGCAAGGCTCGTTAGTTTGATTGCGTTTAAAGAACGTATTTTAACTTGGGTATAAAAACGTTTTCTATAAATAGGTGAGTGATACGGAACTGTGCTGCATTTGCTTTGAGCAAGTATGCACGATTGAAGTCAAAGACTGTGGTCACCAAATGTGTGCACAATGCACACTCGCACTATGCTGTCACAACAAACCAAACCCAACAACCTCAACCGTGACTCCACCTGTCTGCCCGTTCTGTAGAAGCACCATCGCAAGGTTAGTCGTCGCCCAGAACAACAACAACAACGAAAAAAGCAAAACCTTAGACGATGTTGTTGTCGATCTCGAGGCAAGTGATGTAAGCTCCTCCAAATTCAGAAAACACAGAAGATCAATAAACCTAGGCGAAGAAAGCAGCAGTTTCATGGGACTATCAACCATCGGATCGTTCGGAAGAATAACCGGCCGTGGCTCGGGTAGAATCGCAGCCGACAACGAGCTGATGGACAAACCAATATTGTGAGAATCGATTCCGCTCTTTGGAACATTTTGGGGACATTGGGGGATAGAGAAGGAGGTTAAAAAAAATTGTGAGAATGTATAAAAATATAGATGAATTTTATGTAGATCTTTTGTTGGTAAGGGTGGAAGGAAGATTGAAATAAGGAGGCAAAAAAAAAAAGGTGGGGAAGTTGTGTAATGCAAAAGGGATTTGTTGTTTCTTTGATTAAGTTTGGCCAAAATGGTTTTGTTGTTGTTTATTATTTGGTTACTTGATATGAAAGGGAAGAAACCCCCATAATCTTTTTTTTGTCTTTGTCTCTCCTTTTTTTAAGTTACATTCTCACTAAACTTTGATTTTTTCCATCCCAAATGTGATGTGAACGGCTGCTAAGTAGCCAACGTAGAGTCAGAAAAGGAAGAAAAGAAGATCCAATAACTTCTTACACGATCCAATCACTTTCTATCTCATTCGCAACTTGTGGTCACAAACAAAATATAAATATATTTCAAGTTGGCTCTTTGTATACTTTAGCTTAAAAATATCTAAATTTTTTTTTATTAGATTGGTCAATTTCGATCAACTAGTAAGATACAGATGGCCACTTTTTGTTTACTCGTGGACAATTTAGTTTTATACGTCAAGACTTTTGTTATAGAGAGAGTCATAGAGAAGACTGATTCGGTGGATATGTTTATTAATGAAAAGTAAACCTATACTGATTATGACAAATATATAATTAGACAAAACGAAAAGAATGAGTGATTGTTTTTTTTTTCTTTTATTGTCTAAAACGTGTATGAGCCGAAATATTAGGTTTAAACGGGAAAGTAACTAAAGTTAAACATTAGGTTAGACGATATAATTTGAAGAAAAATAAAAAGTTAGATAATAGTGTTCAGTGTAAATGAATCGGAATACCATATAATTCTTAAAAGATTTGAAATCGGATTTGAAACTGCGAATTTGGGGCTATCAAATTTCGTATCCCCAATTTTTGTTTAGATACGTTAAATTCCGGATATCCATTCAAAAATTGAAAATATTCATAGAAGTTTATACTAATTTCCGTAAAAGAACAAAATAATTTAAATTCAAAATTATACTAAAGTCTAATACTATCAAAAAAAAGAAAAATTAGAATATTAATATTAATATTTAATTTAAATCTACTCTAGTATAAATTTTGTTAAGATATGCAAACACAATATGAAAAATCACTACTTTTATACAAAAAATAATAGTGGGACAGAAACATTTTCTTATAATTAGCGAATGCGAATATATAATTTTTTTTTTGTTTTTTTTTGTCATCTAAATCCGAATATATAATTTAAAATCAAAATTGTAGAACCATTTACATACAGCTTCAGTAGTACACGTTAAAGCATGACATATATTAACGTGTTCCAATGTTTGGTATCTACTGATCAATAATATCATCCCTAATCACAATTGTGTGATTTATTATCTATCATGTTTTGTCTTTGACAATTCAATCCTACAACTTGGTGGCTTATAATTAGTCGTTGGAACAAGACCCAAGGGTTGATGAAAGAGCAGATTTAAGATTAGGAATAAACCTTAACCCACACCAAGATGTGCAACTTATTGCACCAACCGTAGAATATTCAAAACTATAAATGGTTACCTATTTACGTCTACTATTTTTTAGAAGAAAACACAAATTTTACTTTTACTATTTCTCATTCTTTTCATTGCTATCTAATAATATTTGCTTGCAAAATTATACACATACAGTTTCAAATTAAAAACATAAAATTAGATGGTTTTCTTGAATATTTTTAGGTAAACTTTCATCTTTCATATACTAAAAAATCGTATTGATGAGAAATAATTTATTAAAATTGATCATATAATGATTTTCCTGGATTATTTTAAATACTCCATCGTGGTCACAGAGGACTCACACCGTACACATGTATGAAAGTTCAAACGTGTTATTTTGTCTCCTTCAAATAATTGCCAAAATCAACATCTCAATTTAATGATCTGCTCTCACAATACTTATCATCTTAAACCTTAATATAACCAACGAATATTCAAACAGTAGACTTATATATATGTCCATTGAATTTTGAAGAGACTAGATATGTCAAAAATTTGGTGTGTATAAAACTGTGTGACTCTTCTACTCAAAATTTTCTACTAATCAAAACTACTGCTTTCTTTTCAAAAATATCAGTTTTAGATTGTTAAAACAGAGATCGGAAATCACAAAATATGTGATCTGAAGTCAGAAAGAGTCTGACAATAAACATGTTATTCACTGCTTCTATCGGGTCCTTTGCTGTCTCATGAGTCAGTCAATGGGCTTATGGCTCCTTCCAATTGTATTTCATGCATTTCCGTTTTTCTAGTTTTCACTATCATAATTATTCCAAATTAAACATATATATATATGTCCACTATATAGTAGAGTCTAATCCAATTGTACATTCTCTTGTTTATTCATCTTAATAAACTGGATTTAACCAATATTATAATACAACCTTTGTCTATAAAGAGCTTTCAATTAATAACATGAATACCCTTTTTATCAGTTTGAAGTTTATTTATATGTTTAGAATGTTTTTTTGCAAGAAAATGTTTTTTTTACAAGGTACTAATACTCAATAGGGGATTTACAAATACAAAAATAAACAAGATGGACGATAAATACTCTCAGAAGAAACGAATAAATGATATACAGTATATAGTTTAAAGCCTTTTTCTATTCATTAATAAAAGATGCAATATAAAAATTAAAATATAAACATATGAAACAAGTTTTATTAATATTATCATTATGGGACCAAAAACAAAAAAAAATCACGGACTCGTATATGGTGATATAAACTCGAGCAACACTGGTTTGAGTAAAATAATTGCTCTCAACCAAATTCAAGATTTAACCGGGTAAACCACCTTAAACCGGTGTTGGTCAAGGGTTAATTTAAACCGGTTTTGATATTATGCGAATCACAATTATGAAAGCGTACAGGCTGGAATATGAAACGGATCATTTTTATTTCGAGAGGGATTTCCATCTTTTCAAAATTTGAATCCTTTCATATAACAGTAGCAAGCGGCCATGTGGAGAAGAGGAGTCGTAAATAAATCTCTCTTACATTTCTCTCAAACCCTAAAATTTTCATTTTCACACCGTATAGAAGTTTGAATACCGATGCCTTTTTTTTTCCGGCGATCAAAACATTAGAAGGCGTTCGCCAAGGTTATCGATTCTAAGGTTAGTGTTATACCAGAGATCGTACTCCTGAACTTAGGGTTCCGATCATTTTTGTTTTCTTTGTTATTTGATTCGATTATCAAAAAATTTGGGGTTTGTCGATTGATCAGATTACGAATTGTGTTTCTTTGTTACTTGATTCGACTATCAATCATTTCGGGTTTTATCGATTGATCAGATTACGAATTGTGTTTCTATGTTATTTGATTCGATTATCAATCATTTAGGGTTTTATCGATTGATTTGCTTACGAATTGTGTTTCTATGTTATTTGATTCGATTATCAATCATTTAGGGTTTTATCGATTGATTTGCTTACGAATTGTGTTTCTTTGTTACTTGATTCGATCTTCAAACATTTAGGGTTCCATCAATTGATGAGATTACGAATTGTGTTTCTATGTTACTTGATTCGGTTACTTGATTCGATTATTAGACATTTAGGGTTTCGTCGGTTGATTTGTTTATGAATTGTGTTTATATTGTACTCGATTCGATTATTGTTTTTGTTATTTGATTTATCCCCAATCGTTATATTAATCTTCCTACTTTTATAAGCCAAGATATCGATCAATTTTGTTCTTTCATCGATACCAATTGAATGATAGTTCTGTGATTTGTTTGGTTTGGTTTTTGACAGGAAGATAAAGGGTATGTTGATTCGTGATCTTCACCATCAACACGGTAGTGGCTATGTTTTCGCGCTCCTCTGTTTTCAGGTTAGATTTGTTTCTGCATCACTCTGTTTCTGATTTGATTCTTTCTATTGTTCTTATGGTTTACTTTTGTCTTATGTTACGTACAGATCGTTTCAAGTCTTCGTAGCTTGAAGAAAACTCAAAGAGACATGTGTCCAACGTAGACACAATCATTTTGGTTTTGAGTGTTAGTTTGCTCCCCCATTTCAATATTGTATTTTCAGGATTATCTCTCTAGTTTTCTTAATTTCTTGTGTTTATTGGAATTTTTGGTTAGTTGATAACAAAGCTTCAAAAATTTAATACAGGCTGGCGTGGAGAATATGCACATAGTTCACCATTATTTGATGAAGAATAAAAAGTGGTGAGTTTTCCTGCAAATTATATCATTGTTGAACTATGTGTGTTTTTTTCTTTTCCTTTGTGCTAAATAATTGTTTAAGTACATTAGTGTGTTCTGGTTCGTCATAGTTACCAGTTTCAGAATCACAAACTAACCTTGAAGTACTACTAATCAAAGAAGCGGCTCTTAGGTATGTTAGTTGTTTCCATGTGTTGTCTTTAATCATTTTTCCTGCTTGGTCTTTAGATTTTGCTCTTTAGACTTTTCATGTTCTATCATGCTTCTTATGTAGCAGCGAGTTTTCCATTGAAGAATGTTGACAAATACATATGCATTTATTCATTGATTCATACATGCATACATGGATACATCCATACATGCATACATGGATACATCCATACATGCATACATGGATACATCCATACATGCATACAAGGATACATCCATACATGCATACAAGGATACATCCATACATCCATACATGCATACATGGATACATCCATACATGCATACATGCATACATGCATACATGCATACATGCATACATTCATACATCCATACATGCATACATTCATACATGCATACATGCATACATTCATACATTCATACATTCATACATTCATACATGCATACATTCATACATGCATACATTCATACATGCATACATTCATACATTCATACATGAATACATTCATACATACATACACGTATACTTTTATTCTTATTTTTCACACTTGTTGCTTCTCACTCGGGAAAGCATAACAAGGATCAACTATGTATGGAAATCCCATAGATGAAGTGTGGTAACTATTCACTTTCCTTCTATTTCATTGACTTCTCACCTCACCCTTAATATTGAATGTCGAAGTACTTTGCAACTTATCTATTAAATGTGCAAGTTTTTGCTCACTTGTCTGAGTTTTTGTATTAATTTGTAGATACTAGTTATCAAATTGCTGATATAAAGACTTGGCCTCTGCTATAAAGTGCCCTACTGCTTTCGGCGAAGCTATTGGTTCCAGATTTTTTTCCAGAGGGTATGTGCTGGTTCAGTAAGTTTTTTTTTGAATTTCATCTTCATTTGATCACAATGATATTCATGGCTTTTGTTTGTGTCTTTACAAAAACATGAAGGAGCTAGGAGCACATGAATCCCAAGTTTCTTACTGAAGGCTTGTTATGGATGGGTCCTACTATTGATGACTTTGGTTTCTCACTTTTGAAACTTAAGGTTTTGAAGATTTATTCTACTTAGATATTCCCGGCCTCTCACCTCCCTGCTTTTTTTAACTACAGCATCTAAAGAGTTTATTCGGTCATTTGACAGGATTTGATAGATTATTGTAATGATCTTGTGATGTAATCTAGTACAGCTGCCAGAAATGCTACAATCAAACTGCTGGGTGCTTTACACAAGTTGTTTTTGCTAAGGTCGCTAAGATTTTCTTTAATGCTTCTGCTTTTTCTACTTTGTGTTTGTTAGAAAAACATATTAATAAACGAGTTAAACTGTTTTATTTCTGTTTGCAGACGTCAAACCGCTGGATTACTTAAGCATACAAGTGCACTGGACGCTGAATATGAGAAAAACCCTTTTAAGGTATACTATTTGTGTGGATGGTCATAATTATCAAATTTCATGTTTCTCTTGTTGTACTTATATTATGTTCATTAGGTGACTTCGGCTTCAAAGAGAGTTTGTTAAGACCTAGAGAAGATACGAGTAGCAATACTACAAATTGAGGACCTATCTTTTTAAGGGCTTTGGAAATTCCTGATTGGAAGGTGCGTCACAAATTGGAAATCTTCTTTGTTGTCTAAACCTAACAATACGTTTTGTTGAAATTTATGATAAGCTTTAAAATTGAAACTAAGTTTTTTTTCTACTTTTGTAGATGCAATTTGGAGTTAATGTAAGCTGTAAACCAAGTTCTGGAAGAGGTTATTAAGTATCCAACCAACTGGAATTGGTATGAAGTCAGAAATGTTTCTATAATTCTTTATTATTTTAGTGTTTTTATTCCAAGGTTGGTAGACAAAATGGCTGGTGGTAATCTTAGGCATGTCTTTTTTATTTTGTTAATGCAGATTCCTTTAATTGTAATAGCCCTAACAGATGAGAAAATGACAGCAGAAGGACGTAAAGATCTTTATAGTTGGATGACAAAATAACTTGGGGGATTAAGCGACTCTGTGGATGCTATATATACATCTACTAAAACCTGCAAGCAATGATGGTGACTCATTTAAGATTCTCATCAGGTTCAAGTGATTATATATGTTTGTAATGACTTTATATATTTATACGGCTATGAATCTTTTCAGGTTCAAATCAGTAGTCAATAGATATGCGAGAAACAAGTGAATGATGAATTTCTGAGAGATTGAGAGTTAGTGGACTAGAAACGGTAAGTATCATGTAGTATTGGCTTGTTCTATTTATGGCTAGAAGCCTAGAATCTGAATGGTCCTGTACATTTGTTCTCAGATTGAGAAGAACTTCAAAAGATATTCAAGGCCTACACTAGTTCTTATGCTTTAAAAGGTAAGACCAGAGTTTGTTCAAGGTACCTGCTTGTCTGATTAACATGTTCTCTCCTCTCGGTTTCCTTTTTCTGCCCATGCTAACAATTTGTTTCCAGAACCATAGATTCTTGTAATGATTTTGTGTTGTAATCTAGTACAGCTGCCACCTGAAATGCTACAACCAAACTATTGGGTGCTTTACACAAGAGTTTTTTGCTAAGGTGGTACAATTTTCTTTAATGCTTCTACTTTGTCTACCTTGTGTTTGTTAGAAAACATATTAATAACCAAGTTTAACTGTTTTATTTCTGTTTGCAGACGTCCAAAGGATTTAGTAATCCTGCACTACTAAGTACGCTTGATGCTGAATATGAGAAAATCACCTTTTCAGGTACAATTTTGTGTGGATGGTTGTTATTTTTGGATTTCTTGTTTCTCTTGTTGTACTTATGTTCTGCTCATTAGGGGACTTCGACTTCCAAGAGAGTTGCTAAGAGCTAGAAAAGATATGAGTAGCCAGATTACCACCCCCCCCCC